GTCAATAAACATTTATTCAGCACCTACTATGTGCCAGATATTGTTCTGAGTGATGAGAATCCATCCCTTGCCCTTGAGGAAAGCACAATTTAATGAGGGAGACAGCATGAAAACAGCTATGTACAAACTATATATAGAATAAATAGTCAATAATCAATAGAGGGAAGGGACTAGAATTGAAAGACATTGGGATTTGAGGGAAGCCAGGAGGAATAGATGAGAATGGTGAGCATTCTTTCCTCTTCATTATATGATATTATATATAATTACATTATATATATAATTGCATTATATTTATTTAATATATTTATATAAGTTATAGTTATTTTTATTAGGCAAGTCGCAACCTCTCTTGGACTCAGTTTCGTTGTCTTTTAAAATGAGATTGGAACATATAGCTTCTGAAGTCTCTTCCAGCTCTAAATCTATGATAGATAGTCCTAAATCTAAAAGTCCAGACTTTAAGCTTTCTTTGTACCTACTCTCCTTACCTAACAGAATCCTCCGTTCTTACAGATTTTATCTTTATGTTCAATATCGTTTGTGGTTTGCAGTACTTCCTCCCCCCCTTTTGACTGGGTTCTTTGACAATTTGCAGCTTCCCTTCTACCAAAAAACAGAATTCAAAGCCCCTCACTTTATTGTGCTCCCATCCCTCTCCTCTGTGGGACCCCAGAGTGGGACAATAGATGATTAACTTTTCCTAAGGATAGGCTGAATTTGTAACACAGAACAATTTCCAGACTAGTGGGCACCTTATTAAGCCTTCCCCACTCCTTCAAACAAGGACATTCACCCTATGAAGTTTGATGCTCTAACTTTGATGTAGACTATGGTTCTCAGTTTACCCAATGACTAAAATAACCGAAGCAAGAGAAAATGGAAACTTTCCACTTAAGTTTCCCCAGTTCTCTCTTATCTTTACTTCTTTGTAAAAGAATACATGTAAAAGCATAACATTCTACATAATTTTATTTTAACTCTGCAATAACCCTCTGAAGAGGCAGAACAGGTTTAATTATTCTAACCCACAATATATTTATATCTAAGCCCTTATGTCCACCAGATACAATATATTTGTATTAATAAATTAAATGTTGAAAGAAAAGTGTTTTCAGGTAAAAATGTGACCTAATAGACGAGAAAACAACCATTTACTAAATTGTTACCTGACTAGTAATAGCCTCTCAAAAACACCACCATTTAGTTTAGGTGTCCTAATTATCACCTGCAGAGGGCAGTGCAGACTTACTTTTGAAATGGGTTTGTTACAAACTCAAAGAAAAGTAATTCCTTGGATACAGATAAGTGAATAGTAAATTTTCTAGAAGATTACTTTTTTGGTCCCCTTGGGGGCAGCATAAGGTTTCTTCTTCAGCTCCTAGTGTAGTTGTCTCAGAGCACTTCAAAAATGACTTCAGAAATATAGTTCCATAGATTAAAACAAAGTTATTTTCCTCTTCCAATCAACTAAAATTTTATTTTATCCATATTAATATGAAAGTTTCATTTCAAAGGTGCACTTCCAATTTCTTTAAAATAAATGAAAATAAAATCTTTAGCCACCTTTTCCTATTGTTATTTTTCCTTTTAGATTAGTCTCTAATCGAGACTTCTTCAATTTAAATTGGTTTTTTTCCCCCTTTAAAACAGGTAAATAATACTAATTTGACATATGTCCCAAAGTAACTTTTAATTTCAAGGCTTTTATTATCTAGGAGTTGTTTTGGTTTTAGTATTATAAAAGCACAACTTTTTAAATTGTATTTTCCTTTACCTTTCTTTCGCTGGTGCAGAATTTTTCTACTAATGCAAATAAACTTCTTGTCTTGAACCGAGAGTCTTAGATAGTTGCCTAGGACAGTCAGAGGTTGTTACTTTCCCATGATCCTGCAGTTTAATATGTGTCAGGGTCAAAACTTGAATCCCAGATAGATTTGTGTTACTCCAAGTTTATCTGGACATCGACTATATATTCTAATTTTTTTTTAACCTGGCAGTAAGTTACAAAGCATTGAAATGTTGCATTAAATTCTTTTTCATTACAGCCATGAGGTTGCCTTTTGATAAAACTTCACCTATCTATCTATCTATCTATCTATCTATCTATCCATCTATCTATCTATCTATCTATCTATATCTGTCTGTCTGTCTGTCTGTCTGTCTATCCACATAGATATATGGAAATTCAAGTGCAGAAGCATGTCAATAACAACACGAAACTTGTTTTTTAAAAAATAACCTGGGGACCTAGATCTTTTTTTTTCCTTCTTCATATGTGCTCACCAGACAGTTTTACAAATAAGCTGACTGTGTACTACTCACATAATAGAATTTCTGAGATTCCAGGAAGATCTTTTCTAACATCATTCCTACATTATTTTGTCTAAGATTCCACCAAGACAAAACGGAAACCACTTTTTGGTCTTCCAGAACTTCATATCAAAGTCAAAATATCTCATAGGAAAGATAATACTTTAAGCTAATATTACTTTACTTTGGGGCAGCTAGGTGGTGTAGTGCGTAGAGCACCAGACCTGGATTCTGAAAGATCTGCATTCAAATCTGGCTTCAGACACTTACTAGCAGTGTGACCCTGGGCAAGTCACTGAAGCCCTGTTTCCCTCAGTTCCTTATCTGTGAAAAATAGAGACACACTGGAGAAGGAAATAGCAAACCACTCTGCTATCTTTGCCAAGAAAACCTCACAGGGTCACATAGAATCAGATACAACTGAACAACTGAAAAAACAACTTTGTGAGAAATTAATTTATAAAATTGCTCCCAATCTTAAAATAGCTAGCCAGAATTAAGGTTCTATGGAAATGAGGCTAAGAATAGTGTCCTGGAAGAATGGTAGTAGGAAAACAAGGAACAATAAGGAAATCATCTGGGTGGGATGACCACTTTCAGATTTTGTGTGAAAGTGGTCCTGTGTATAGATGCTTCATTAAGTATCTTAGTTTATTTCTCAGATAATCATGGAATCACTATATTTGGTCTTTGGATAAGTCAGTTAACCTTTCTAAGCCTCAATTTCCTCATCTACAAAATGAAGTAGTGGGTCTCTCCTGAAATAAAAACCACCCGACTACTTGCCAGTGGAATTGTAGAGAGGATTTGTGGGAAGGTACAAAATTGAACTAGATAGATGCCAAGTTTACTTCCAGTCCTGAGATTCCATGATTCTGACTGGGTGATCCCTAAATTCCTTTCCAAGCTTATAGGCTATATCAGAAGTTAAATGATCTTTCTTTCTGATTAGAACTTGATCTATGATAAAGTATCTGTCCCTGTGACTATTACTAGTCAGTAGGCCTTATCTGTAGAGAGTCATTGTAGAGAGTCAAGAGCAACACTTTCTATGTGCATACTTCACAAACTCTTTGCTTGTTTTGTCTTTGATCACCACAACCACCTTATTAGATAGGGAGCACTTTTTCTGAGACTCAGAAGGGTGAGTTATTTGCCAGCAGTCACATAGCTGTAAATAAAAGTTGCTATGTCAGGCCTCAAATTCTGGCTCCAAATCAATGACTTTTTTTCCCCTCATACCTTTTTTGAACACTGTAGTAAAAATTCCTTCAATAAAGCACCCAGGTGTCTAGAGACATAAGGTCATTTGAAAAGATTTGAGAAAATTGACTATGTAAGTCACACATTTAAAGCTGTTTTTTTAAAGGAAATTAAAAATTAAAAGAAAAAGAAAATATTTATGGTAAGATTGGGAAAGAGAGCTAAAAAGAGAGAAGAAGCAAGAAGTGTGTGAGTTTGGGTGGGGGGGAGGGAGAGCAGCACAACTCTTTGCACATTTGTGATCTCAGAAACACAGTAGATAGACTTAAATCCCCCTTCAACATTAGGAAAATAAACCAAAAACAAAACTATCCTCTACCTCTCCTGCACTGTCTAATGTTTCCTTCTAGATCAAAACAACTAAATACACCTTCTCCGTGAGTACATGCAAACTTATATACACGCATGTATGTATATGTGTGTATATTGTATATATATATTATATATAATATATATACACATTTGCATACATGGCTATATATATATATATATATATATATATACACATACCTAGTGTGATCAGAGTAGATACAAATTTAGATCTATTTGAAGGGTAAAAGTTGGATATATTGTGTTCATTCACTATGGATACATTTAGAAGTTGCCAAACTTCTCAATTGCCTCAATAATGATTATTTTAAGGTTTTAGAAACCTCACTGGCTGGTAGTGATGCAGTTTAGGGGTTCAGGGGTGCTGGGTCCCCAAAATCACAACATGTGGGTTCTGCCCAAAAGAATTCGACCCACTCCTTCTTTCAGCCAAAGAAAAGGTTTATTAGAACATTGTCATATTGGGCAGACTCTTAAGGAGTCTGAACATCAATAAACTACAGTGGCTAGATTATAAGAATCTGAGCAGTGGCTAGATTTTAGGAATCTAAGCAGTGGCTAGATTTTAGGAATCTGAGCAGTGGCTAGATTTTAAGAATCTGAGCAGTGACTAGTTTTTAAGAATCTCAGCAGTGACTAGATTTTAAGAATTTAAGCAGTGGCTAGATTTTAGGAATCTGAGCATCTTAATGGAGACAAGATGGACCTTATATACAAAAAGCCTGTGGGAGGGATCTAGGAGTGGCCAGTATGCTGGGGTGAACAGAAGTCCTGAGACCTGGACCTCGTGGCCAAGGGAGAATGGAGCCTAGCTAGGATTAAGGGTGGGAAATGGCCAGGGACCATAGGGAGGTAAAACAATGGAAGGCCAGGCTAGTTTAACAGAATTGGGAGATTGGGTATAGCCACAATGAAAGGCCAGGTGATGGAATTATAGCCTCAGGGGAACACCAGAGATTTGGCCATGTGGGAAAGTCCTGAGTTTTTCCTTTCTGGGGCCCAGATCCCAACCCCATCAGTAGTAAATATGATTTTTATACCATGTAAACTATATTACTGAGGGAAGTTAATACCTTTTCCCCCTTTCTTTTCAGTGTCCAAGCAGAACATATGATCCATTGATTAAGTCAACCAGAGATTTTCCAGATGATGTCATTAGCTTTATAAAACGGCATCCTGTGATGTATAAATCTGTGTACCCTGTGGCTGGTGGACCTACTTTTACTAGAATTAATGTGGATTACAGATTGACACAAATTGTGGTGGATCATGTTATCGCAGAAGATGGCCAATATGATGTAATGTTTCTAGGAACAGGTAAGTTGGAAGTTTCATTTTACTGTCTTTAAAAAGACCATAAATCATAAAAAAAAAAAGTTAAGAAAATTTTCCTTGGTCTGAAATACCTCTAACGAGCATTACCCTATTTCTCATTTGACCTAAAAGGACTGTGAAAAACATTCAGTATGACATGGTAGGAATTTCATACCAGTTGTTAAATTCATCTTCATCCTCAGAACTTCAACGTGTGTGTCTGATTAATTATTAATTTGAATGAGATGTGGCAAATATGATGTACATACTGGAAATGTTGCCTATATAGTGGATGTTTATGAGTTTAGAGAATTCAAATATCGGTCCGAAAAAGTGTAGATTGAAAGGTTGAATCTGACAACAGAATAGATTTAAAGCACTTAATTCAAACATCAATAAATTCCAGTTAAATGTATTTTGGCTCAGAAAAAAATAAAATAAAGAAAAAAATATGGAAATAAAATTAGAGAAGGCTCAGATTAGAATATGTTTTCTAAAGAAATGAATTTTCAGGATAACTCGATTGAAAAGTCTAATAAATTTTATATTTGAATTTAAATTAACAGAAGGTATATATAAAGTCAGGTTACATGAAAATCTGATTCTTTAAACCTCACTCCCAAGAGTTTAATATTCCAAAATATTCTAGAACCACCAGGTGGAGCTACATAGTATTAACTTAGACAGTTACAGTAATAGGAAATTCCCTGTACTGGAAACATGTCTTTTTCCTAGCAGCAGAAAATGCACTTAGCTTAAGTGAATTGCAGTTATACATTCTATTACCTCCAAAGTAGACTCTAATACAAAGAGAAGGTACAGTGATAAAGTGGGTAGAACGTTGGATTTGGCCTGAAAGAACCCGGGTTCAAAATCCAACTCTGATTTTTCCTACCTATGTGAACTTGGTCAATTCACTTGAGCATCTGAAAATGAAGAGTGTGGCACAGATGGCCTCTTTGGAGGACTCTGGCTCCAAACCTCTGATCCATTTTCCACTTTGTTAGCATAATTGTCTTTGAATTTTTGTGCAATGATCATGGTTTAGAATAAAGATTATAAGAGAAACAATCCTGAGTTTTGTCTTTAAAAAGAGTGAAGAATAAATATTACATTTTAAAAGCATTTGTCAATTCTTATATGGTGGTCACATTAACGAATACATCCTGAGAGGCATTATTCTGTGTTCTATCCTTTATGGTGTATATGAGAAAAGTTCAAGTTTCTCAAACATAGTATGTACAATCATATTGTCAAGAATGCTGAAAGTACCATGTCTTTCAACATTCCCTGCAAGTGTGTATTATTTTTGGGAACAACAGAAAACTTCCAATACCTTGGCAGGAAAACTATTACATACATCATTTCTCATATATTCTATTTATTTTTGTCTAGATTCTTTGAAGATATTTAAAGAAAAGTTATGTAAGCAGTAGGAAGACTTAGAAATGTGTTAATACTTAAGATAGAAGGTGGAAACAAAGGAGGTTCGTAATTGATATATTTTCTTTTAGATGTTGGAACTGTACTAAAAGTTGTCAGCATTGCAAAGGAGAAGTGGGATATGGAAGAGGTAGTGCTGGAGGAGTTGCAAGTATTCAAGGTAAGATCCAAATTCATAAGACCTATGGACACTGTCATCCATTCTCTCTTCCCACCCAAACAGGTGGCTAGGGGAGACTCTGAAACATTTCTCCCTCCCTGCAAAGAAAACTTATGGGAGCCAATTATAATTAATACTGAGAAAAGGGCTATCTTTCCTGTGTGCCATACCATTGAATCAGGAGCTTCTAGGAATCCCTCTTTTTGTTGCATTCTTTAAGAATACAGTCAAGGCCAGAAGTTTCATGTCAGATTAAAGCCTAAAACCTCTTTAACTTTCCAGATGTTCTCCTAAAATATAAATTTTACTTTTGCATTTTTCTTAATTGAAATGGAGTAAATTATAGGAAGATTTGCAAATCATTCATCCCCTTGTTCCTGGGGGGAGGGTGGGGGAGGGGGGATATATATATCTGACTCTTTGTGATCCTGTGGACCATAAAATACCAGGCCCTTCTGTTTTCTACTATCTTCCAAAGTTACATATACATATATACATATATACATATATATGGATAGATGGATGTATATGTGTACACATATATGTATGTTAATACATATGTGTACAAATGTGAAGACTAAGTTATAACAGCATTAACGTATACTTCACTTATTCTTCCAAACACAGTAGGCTGTCGTATATCTTTAGGAATGCTATAATTTCAGTATTGTTGACCCTTACTAGAGTAGTGATGCTGAATCTTAAAAACCAATTCTAAATTGTGTCTGTGTTATTGTTAGTTCCACCTGATTATTAATTTATTTTTCTCTTAAGGAAAGATTAAAAATAGATTTATCTGATTTTCTTACACTGAGGGACTACATAAGAGCAAATCCTTAGAAATATACCATTCTTTCATCATCTAAATGTGTTTGCTATTCTTCTTTGAACCTATAGTGCTTTCTGTGGATGTGTTTATTTTTTTTAAAGTGGCTGTTTCCACATAAACCTTTAACACTTCAAGAAAGGACCAAACCCTCTTCTGTGAAGGGCTTAAATTAATTAACATGTTGAGTTCCAAAGGACCAGGTTTATATTTTGATAATAGCAGTGGTGAAAAAGTTATTAAGTCTTTGACTTGTTATCTTGCCTCAACCAAAAATCTAAAATCTTTAAGTGGTTCCTAAGAGGTCATAAATGTCATTTATGACCATTTGCTAAAGGAGACCTATAGGAAATGAAATATAATAAGATGGCTAAACTTGAAAAGTTTAATAAGTAATTATGAGGATATTTGTTTATACAATATTAAAAATGTGATAAACACTTAAAGAAAGTAGATTTGGAGGAGAAAAGTCTTCAAGAAAGTGGTAAAAATTTTAAAAAGTTAAATGTTTTCTTATGTAATTACAGTAAAATAGTTTTACTTACAGGATATTTTTTAAAATAGCATTCTAATAGTAAAAGCTGTACATACTAAGGGAGCAAAAACTCCCTGAAACATTTAGCCAATCTCTGCTTTTCCGTGTTAGTGGATTAACTGGATTTTGAAGTTTAGTCCATTAATTAATAGGTATTTGATGTCATATTGATTAGTTAAAAGTAGGGGGAAACATAGTAGTAAGTATCTTCATCAATTCCTACCTTCTTTTTTCAGAATCCATCATTAATCTTGAATATGGAGATATCTTTGAAGCAAGTAAGTTCTATGTTTATTTTATTGAGGAGATAAGATGTTTTCTAAGCAAAGACTGATTTTTGGGATTACTGAGATACCTTTGCACATAGTAGGGAATGAATTTTGATTGAATTAAATGAGGGTAAAAAATCAGTGCATTTGAAAGTGATGAACAAGATTTTACTATATAATGTCTTTCTCTTTTATCCAATTATAAACCATTGTTTACCCCAATTTTAGTAGAAATCCTACATTTTACAAATAGGAAAAAAAAAACCCAAAATTTCCTCTCCCTTGAAATGAAGGCCTTGAAAATTCCTTAGTCAGGGTCTCACTGACCTAGGAAGGGGTCAGTGACAATCCCTGACTCCACAGGGATTATCTTATGATCTTTGAAACCCAGTACTTACTGCCTACTTCTCTGGAATGTTACACTAGGCCTTAGTTGATTCAAGTGAGGCAAAATAATTTTAACTACTCTTACTCTAGTCTCTTCAATGATCATAATCTTATATGATCTAGGGTCAGAGTTAGCATAATGCTAGTGTGGTCTTGACCTGTCTTAAGCAGGTCCAAAACAAAGGAATGCTAGTATTAAGTGTCACATTGATTGTTTCTCCAGACCCTGACTTTAAGATCATACCAGAGAGGGAAAGTGGTCCCACTAGCTCAAGAAAATCATCACACACGTGTGCCTGTGACACACCTGTGCCACCACACACACATATACCACTAATCACGTAGGCAATTAGCCACCACCCGCCTGTGATAGTTTTGTAATGCAACTGTGATGGGTATGGCAGTGCCAATTTCTAAGATAATTAACCCAGATTAAAGCATTCTATATTTATAAAGAATAAGTATGTTAATTTACACAACTCACAGAAGCCAAATCAATATTTTATTTCTCAGATTCCTCAACCTCCTTGAAGGTTTCCATTTGTATCTGATATTCTGCAGCCTCAGCCCAGAAATTTGGCAGCCTCTTATTATACAATACCCAAGAGACAGCAACACTCCAATAGCTGATGAAGTGATTTGTTAATTCCATGGGCAAAGTTTATGAAGCTCTTTGTGATCCTTTTACATGGAAGTAACCATGTAAGGGAAAAGATACTTCTCATCATTAAATTTTCCTATGGCATCTGCACTTGATATAACCTACCAATGTACATTTTCAACTATCAAGGAAAAATTTGACATCTTAATTCTTCCAGTCTAGCAGCTGGTTTTTGACCTTCTTAAATTTCTGCCAATGTTACATTATTTCTACAGAATGCTGTCCCTGTACTACCATAGACATCCTGCCAACCACCCGGTCTGCCAGAGTTGAAAGTGATTGACTGTTTTTTTCACTCTTCCTTGTGTTTCTTCACAAGTGTTTTATAATGGGCAGGAAGCCCTATGAACCAGAGCAATGTTTAGGCCAATGAGTGTGGTATTTTGGGGGGTGGAAAAAGGAAAATTCTTAAGAATGGTCTGAAAGATGCTTCTAATTCATTTGCTTTGCCTGATTTTCAGCAACAATTGTACATTGGTTCCCGAGATGGATTGGTTCAGCTCTCTCTGCACAGATGTGATACTTATGGGAAGGCCTGTGCAGACTGTTGCCTTGCCAGAGATCCCTACTGTGCTTGGGATGGAAATGCATGTTCTCGATATGCACCAACTTCCAAAAGGTAAGAGATTTAAAAGGTACATTTAAACTCCCTGTTCATGAGTAGCAACTTCCAAAATTCTGGACTTATTTTCTTAGAGATCAGATATAGGTGAAGTATAGCATATACCAATGGTGCAATTTAAAATATAAATCTATATCTATACACACATATATCTTTATACTATATATAATTACATATGTGTTATATATAGGGGTTGCATATATATGTATATATGTGTGTGTATACACATACATATGCTCTTTTAGGTTTTTGCTTAAAATGGACTAACAATTTTAAAGCAGCACACTTTGAAATAGTGAGATGTAAAGTTACACTTCAATAAAATAATTCTGACAATTCTGCATTTTGTATACTTTTTTTCACTATGTAGTTAACAATGAAAATCATGTGTTTCTTTTAACATCTTTCAGAATACATACAGTACATATATTCATAAAAACTTTCTAAATGTTGACATCTTTACAAATATATACGTATACACATATACATACATACACACATTTCATCACATGTGTATACACATGAAATAATAAAATAGTCATTTACATTTAAGGACTAAATATTTAAAACTCCTTTTTGTACCTGGGGAGAATGCTATCAAATATCTTTTGATGTGTATTGAGTTTGCCTTTGTAAATTTATTTGTTTGTTTGTTTGATCATTAATTTGTAATTATCCACTGTTCTGGAAACCCTCAATTTATTTAGAAGATGTTAGTTTTCTTTCTTTCTCTCTGTCCCTTCCTTGCTTTCTTCCTTCTTTCTTTCCTTTTTTCCTAGATCTTTCTATCTTGACCAAGCAAGAAAAGCAACATTTACTCTTAGGTCCAATCTCAATCCCAATTAATTTGGGAACTCTGAGCTGTATCCTTTCCTACCTAGGGTAGGTTGCCCCTCTCTAGGTAATATGGAGGCCCTACCACCACTCTTTGAGACTTATCAGATTGATGTTCAAGTCAGTGCAAATATCCTATAACCTCTTGGCTTAGCCAACTGCAACTTAGAACTCTTGAGCTCAAGAGATTGTCAGCACCAGCCTCCTCAGTTGCTAGGATTAAAAGTGTATACCACCATACCTAGAAAAAAGAAAGTTAACTTTTTGCTTAATGAAAAGGCAAAGGCTATTTTCTTTAAAGTCCATTTTTAAAATTTAATAGGGCAGCTAGGTGGCACAGTGGATAGAGCACCGGCCCTGAAGTCAGGAGGACCTGAGTTCAAATCTGGCCTCAGACCAAACACTTGACACTTATTAGCTGTGTGACCCTGGGCAAGTCACTTAACCCCAATTGCCTAAAATATATATATATATATATATATATATATATATATATATATAATCAATTTAAGAGATCTGTTCAAATTTTGTAAAATGACCTAAAAGTCATAAGTAGGAGCTATTTTGTGAGCAAAATTTGTAGGAATTGTTTATGACTTTTAAACTTTTCATGTATTTTTAATTTTTTTTAACTGTCCATTGGAGAGTGGGGTTACCACCATTTGTCCATGTTTTCCTGGGCAGCAACAAAGCAATAGTAATAAAGAGGACAAGAACAGAGTCCTTAAAGGATAGTTTTTTTTTCATTTAATCTCTGATCTTAAATATCCAAATTTAATGAGGCTGGGTAGTTATTCCAATTAAGAGATGAAGGTAGATATGTAAACAAAATTTGTCACAGTTAGTAGGAAAACATACAATTCTTATAGTTTTCCAGAAGTAGAAGAACAAGAACGCTTGTTAGCCAGTAACGAATGATGAATTGATCATAACTTACAAAAGACAAGGCTTAAAAACATTCTTGATTTTATGCACTTTTTACTAGTCCATGAAATTTTTCCTTCCAGTTTTTCCTAAGACTGTTATCATTTCATTATGATTTTTTGACCTCCCCAACATCGTGTCCGTAGTAAGTAAATTGTAACATGTTTGAGTCTTGGCCAAGGATTGCAATCCAATCAATGCCATCCTTGTGAAGGATCCAGGATTTTGCAGAAAGTTGAATTATGGCAACTGAGATATATATGGTCTCAGGGTAGAGTTTGGGGCTTGGAATCTGTTATAAATGGATTTAAAATCTTGCTTCTGACATTGACTGTCTGGGTGATCTTGTAAATCATTTAACATTTTTGAGCCTCAGTTTCCTCATCTGTCTACCTTACAAGATAGTTGTGAAGTTCAAAAGAAAAAAAAAATAAGCTACTTTGCAAACTCTGAAGCACTAAATAAATATCAGCTATTATTACTGCTACTACTATTAGAGGAGGGGAGAATAGTGAATAAACATTTGTGTGGAATTAACTATGTGCCAGACACCATGCTGAGCATAATAAAAATTGTCTTATTTTGATTCTTACTACACCCCTGGGAGGTAGGTGCTATTATTATCTCCATTTTATAGTCAAGAGAACTGAGGCAAATAGAGATTAAGTGACTTGCCCAGAGTCACCAGCTAGAAAATGTCTCAGGCCAGATTTGGTCTCAGGTCTTCCTGACTTAAGGTCCAGTACTGCATCTATTGTACCACCTAGTTGTTTCTTACTACTAATAGCCTAGCATTTTTATATGTTTGCAAAGTTCTTTGCATATAGTATCTCATTTGATTTTCAAGGCAACCCTCTGAGGCAGGTGCTATCATCACCCCTATTTTATGGACGAAGAGCTTGAGAGATTGAATGATCCACTCAGTATTACATAGTTAATAAGTGTCTGAGGTGGGAATTCAACTCAGGTCTTCCTAATTCAGGCTCTATCCTATCTATCCATCTAACTCCATCCACTGTGCCACCTAGTAGCCTATTATTATCATTACCACAGCTCCTCCTTCTCCTTTTTTTCTTCTTCCTGTTTCTTCTCCTCCTATTATTACTCTACTACTAGTACTACTTACTACTACTACTACTACTACTACTACTACTACTACTGCTGCTACTACTATTACTACTACTACTACTGCTACTACTATTACTACTACTACTTACTACTACTACTACTGCTACTACTATTACTACTACTACTACTACTACTACTACTTACTACTACTACTACTGCTACTACTATTACTACTACTACTACTACTACTACTACTACTTACTGCAACTACTACTGCTGCTACTGTTAGTGCTACTGCTGCTACTATACTCTAAAGTGGAAAGATGTTCTTTCATTTGTTTAAAATAAATGTAGATGGGTATTTATCCCCTTACCTCCTTGATGAAAATTTCAAACAGAGGTTATTATCAAATCTAGTTCAGAAGAAGAAATGAGATCATTGCATATGTAAATAATTGTTCAGTCAAATCTAATGCTCTCAAAGGGATCCCTTTCCCTCTGAACATGTCTTCAACATGTAGTTCCATGAAAATATAGAGAGGCAGATTTGTTTTCTTATATTTGTTTTATAATGTAGTTACCTTTATAGTCACAACTGACATAATCTAGGTAGACAAAGAAAAAAACAAGGAAGCATGTAACAATGATATGGAAAACCATTTTGTATTAGTTTGTATTCAAAAGTGGAAGTCTAGTTTTTCTGAGACACGACCATCTATATTCAAGTTTTAACAGGTGGCAGCAGCCCCGTTCTGTATTTCTGTCTCCTCTGCATTAGACATGGTTGTGTTCTAAGTCTAATTAGTTATTACTGAATTTTTTAATATTTTAATTCACTTTTCATAGGCGAGCTAGGCGGCAAGATGTAAAATATGGGGACCCCATTACTCAATGCTGGGACATAGAAGACAGTAAGTTTCTTATATTTACTCATTAATAAAACTTTTTTGTGGTTTTCTCCCTTTAAACCCTAAGCATGCATTTTCTATTCATTTTTATTCTGAAACATAGAAAATCAGTTTCTAAAATATTCTTCTATACATTACTGTACAGTAATATGTTTTACACAAAGTATGTTCCTAAAAAGACATACTAATTAAAGTCAAATCATACATGAAATGTACTCACAAAGCTAAATTTGTAAAGATATTAGATAAAGAGGTAAAGCGTCTTCTAAGCTATAAAGCACTTAGGAGTGTAACTTATTTTAAGAAGGAGATATTCTAGTGAATCACTTTGCAAAGTAAAGAATCATATAGTAATCATTCTTTATATATCTGTTCTGTATTCTTTAATTTTTTTCCTCTATCAGCTTTTCCTATACTGTGCCAATTTGCACTTAAAAGATTTGAAGTTTTGTGGTTAGACATAATTACACGTATCCCCGAAACTAACAGGACTGAGAAAACTTAGAGGACGAAACAAAAGAGTAAAAACAAAGCTTTGGACAAGGTCTTAGAAACATGGCTTCGGAAGGCCTGATAGCTCTTGGATCATCATTCAGTCGACATTTTTCAAACGTGTGATATACACAACACTTCCAGCAGTGTTTTGAGGGCTATGAGTTCCTACTTTCTTAATGTAGCTCTAAACCCACATGTGCACATATGGTTGTTACAAACCTTTCACTTGAATGTTAGACTATTTAGTCAGAGAGGAAAGTTAAAAAATAACCCAAAGGATGTCACAAGGTGAGTATAATTAATTCAATTAGTGAACATGTATTAAACATTTCCTACATATTTTCTGCTAGGCGCTGAGTATATAGAAAGATGGAAAGTGATAATATACTTTTTACTTTGAAGGAGTTGCACTTTAGTGATTTATGAAACACATATACAGATAATTATAATGCATGTTAGCACAATTAAGTGAATAGGAGAGATTCAGTGGAGCAGTATATGAATTTGGAAGGAGTAATAATTTCTAGCCAAGGGAATCAGATAAGGCTTCATGGAAGGGGTGGCACCTAAGTTGGGCCTTTAAGGTAAAATGTTTTCAGCATGTTAGACAGGGGAAGAATTGTCCCAGTCATCAGGTGGGGAGGGGGATGTACAAAAAGTGGGATCCAATGGAAAAGACTGTATTTCAAGAGGGAAGGGATGGTCAGTAGAATGAAAAAGCAGCAGATATATAAAGAAGAATGAGGTCTGAGAATAGACTATTGAACATCGCTGGTCATCTTGGAGAGAGCAGTTTGTATAGAGTAATAGGGAGGGAGGCAGGATTACAGTGGAATGTGGGAGTAACTTTATGGTGAAGAAATGGAAACAGAATGCAGACAACTTTTTTTTCCCTATAAGTTGGGCACCCAAGAGGAGACAGGGGACAACACAATAACTTGAGGGAGAAATGCCATTCCTACTTCATAACTGTAATTTAGGCTATCTTAAGTCCCCAAGCAAGATTTTAAAATAAAATGTAGTGATTATATATTTTCTTTAAAGGGAAATAGTTTAAGCATGTTGCTGTGCAAAAAGTATTTTTTTTCATGTCTGAGAAAGAAAAAGCTCACTGAAAATTACTTTTAAATTAAATTAAGTTTATTAACTTATAGTTTATCCTAGTTTAATATCAAATGCAACTTATACCATTATGAGCTAGGAAGAAATCAGATAGTCTATCTATATGCAGATGCTATGTGTAAGATAGAGACATGGCAAGGGTTATGTCATTAAGAACGGAGTTAAATTCTGGGCTATCTTTAAATCAAAATGAATATGTACACTAGGATACTAGTTACATTGACTGAATTAACAAAGGGAATTTAGTCAAGCAATTGATCATTTCAAGCAAACAATTGGTTTGACAGAATTTTCTACTCACAAAATTTTCCACTAAGTTGAATCAGTTGATGAAATAAATTTAATTTAATCCTTCTTTGCATCCTTGAGTCTGCCATATGACAACCAAAACAGATCATTAGAATATTTCTTCACTTTATCATAATTAGTGTAATCCTTTGGATCTTATAACACCCTATTCCCACAGGGCTTCAGTGATTACTGTATTGTCTCTTCATGTTTTTGATTATCTTTCTCTTTTCCATCATAAATGGCATCATGAGACTCAAGAAACATTTTTATAACTATAGAAAATGTAGAATATGATATTTTGTTGACTGTGACAGACTACAGCTTTCAAATAGAAGCTATGCATTGGGAGCTGGAAAAGGAGTAATTTATAGGTACATATCATAGGTTTGAAAACAACAATAAATTGATGAAAAAGAAAAGAAACCCATTGCAAGAAATAACCCAATGGATTTTTACACATACGTGAGGATTTCTCAATAATTCTGTATGCTGAATGTTCTTGTCCATTCTTAGTTCCATAGTCTTCTGCCTAATGTTCTAAGTAGGCTACTTTGCTGAATAAACATCTGAAAATTTTACTCAAAAAGTATATGTATATATTCAGGCCCATCTGGTCCAGCAGCAGTCTTTTTCTATTTGATCAAATGAAAGCTCTAGATCTGAGATCACACATGGGACACAGGCTTTGGCTAGTTGGGAATGAATGTATTACAGATGGTACAATTGATTTAAGAGAATAAGGTGTCTCATACACCACTCAGAAAGTTTCCCATTAACTGCTTCATGCACGTGCACTTAGAAGAGACAGTTTTGAAGAATACATCCATCTTTTTTTTTCTTACTAAAATCAAAATAGAAAGATAGGTAAGAAGGTAAGGCCCATTTTCTGAGTATTGAAACACATATATGGTTCTAAATATTTCTATCTAATGATTAAAATTTTGCCAAATAAGCACTGTCTTAGTTTTTACATGCTTTTAAGTTATAAACATTATTAATTATTTTGATAGCTTTTATCATTAAACCACATGGACCTTTCTCTCTTTAAATATTTAGCATATTTTCAGCTAGGTGTTAGAGTGTGGGACCTGAAGTCAGGAAGGCCTAGGTTCAAACATGGCCTCAATCACTTACTATCTGTGTTATCCTTGGCAAATCACATAATGTCTGTCTGTCTCATTTCCTCACCTATAAAATGAGGATGATAATAGTGTCTACCATCTCAGGTTCTTATAAGCATAAAATAAGAAAATATTTGTAATGTTTTATGCAAACCTTAACAGTCATATAAATTCTATCTGTTATTATTATTCTCACAGGACTGACTAGAAAGCTAAAAGGCTACTGGTATGAATTATTTCTATTTTTGCTCATTTTAGAGGAAAAAATGAAAGGGTTTTTTTTAAGTTTTACTTAACTGAGAGAAGAAAGTTTGTTTTTTCAAGTACAGGAACCCTTTCTATCTTGACAGTATTTTAAAAATTATTTCTTTTTACATTTTCAAGTAACAAATTTTTTTTAAAGTAATCTTTCCCTCCCACTACCACCCTGCCTTTTAGAGCCAATTAAAAAAAAAATCCTTGGATAGATATCTATGTAGTTTAGCAAAGCAAATTCCCATGTTACCCAAGTCTGAAAAATGTGTCTGTTGCATTTTAAGTTCATCATTTGGCATGTTTTATCCTCATTTTTTTTGTGGTTTGTCATTGTACCAATAAGAATTCTAAAGTTGTTTAGTGTAGTTTTTCTCAGTAATATTATTGACAGTATTTTATTTTAAACATTTAAGCATTTGGTAAAAATAATAATAAATTATTTGGAAATGCTGACATAGAATTTTTAAAATCAGTCCATTAGAGAGTTGATATTAAATAAAATGTGAAATTCCCTTTTCTTTAATAATACATTATGATTCTTTCCCTCATAGCATCTGTTCTAAATCAGTCCATTTTCCCATTGCTTTAAAAATCAGGTCAAGGTTAATCTCCTATACCATGTTTGCTTTCCAGGCATTAGTCATGAAACTGCTGATGAAAAGGTGATTTTTGGCATTGAATTTAATTCAACCTTTCTGGAATGTATTCCTAAATCCCAGCAAGCATCTATTAAGTGGTATATCCAGCGATCTGGAGAAGAGCATCGAGAGGAGGTAAGTTATAGTCACCAAGGAAAGGAATATTCACCCTGAGCACAATATTATCAGAATATTTTTTAAATCTCCAAGATACAGGTTATTACTATATGGGAAATGTGTTTCTTTTAGAATCAAATGGTATTCTAACTTCCCTCGAGGTAAGAACTCATTTTGTAATAATGAAAATTTTATATTGTTTCAAAATTAAAATGGGCTTATTTCATTATTTTTATCAAATATTTTCAAGATTGTACTTTCAAATTCAAGAAATACTTTCAAATAATTTCAAAATGGAATTTGAAGGTGAGTATTTCATAGAGAACCTTTTACCCTTTTTCATTCCCATAGATTTTTCAAGACAGTGTCTCTGCCTGTTTTGGAAGACAAAAATTTAAAAAAATGCAGTGGTTTTTGTTTGTTTTTGTTTTTGTTTTTGTTTTTTAAAAAAAAAAAAACAGAACAAAACACAGTAACACTAATGGACCACCAAAATATAGTTTGTCCTTGAGTTAGATAGTCTTCAGATTGTAGGGAAAAGTGCAACCAAAATGTAGAATGGCTAGAAACATTCGCCCTTGATAGAACAGTCACCACCATAACCACCCTATCCCAGCTTCACCTTCCTCACCCTCTCAATCAAAACAACAAAATGAGCGTATATATGTTATCTATTCATTCTGACATGTATGTTACAAGAAAAAATTAACAGAATCAAAAGCAAAATAAACATGATCTTTGTTTCCTTTACCTCATTCTCTTTAGACAATGTCACAGAATAAAATGAGGCTTCCTTAACAAAGAGTTGTTAGGCACTTTGAACTCTAGAATGGTCACTTTGCAGAAGACCTAAATGGCAACAGACACATATCTTCAACTCAATATATTTAAAACTGAACTCTTTATCTTTCCCCAAAAATCTTCCCGTTCAGTGTCTTAGGGTCATTACCTGAGGATTATTATAGACTTCTCCCCATTCTCTCTCACCCCACATAACCAGTCACTTCCAAATCTTACCATTCTACCTTCACAGAATCTTTTGCATCTGACTCCCTCTCTCCATTCATATATCCAGCATCTTAGTTCAGGCCGTTCTCATCTCTTCCTTAGCTTATTGCATCAGCCTCCTGATTAACCTCCCAAACTTAAGTCTCCCACCATTTCAGTCCATCCTACATGCTGTTGCCAAATTAAATTTCATTCAGAGCAGATCTGACCACATGGCTCTCCTATTCAGCCAATTCTAGTGGTTTTGCCTTTAGAATAAAATAAAAACTCTTCTATTTAGGATTTCAAAGGCCTACTAATGCTGGTGCCATTGTACCTTTCAACCTCCTGGTTACTGTTCTCCCAAATATGACAGTAAACCTGACCTTCTCCATTCTGCATACATGGAACTTCATCATTTATCTCTGAGCCTTCAAACTACCCATCCACCCTTCTTGGAATGCACTCCTGCCTCACCTCTGGCTTATAGAGGCACTTTCTTTAAAATAGAATTAAAACATCATCTTCTGCATGAAACCTTTCCTCATCCCCAGTCAACTAGGGCCATTCCTCCCAAGCTTCCTTGTATTTAACTACTTTGCATGTATACATGTGTGTATGTGTATGGAGGTGTGTATGTATGTATGTGTATATATATTTATAATTTTATATATTACATATTAATAAACATGTTTAAATATATTTATGTGTACACATGCATATACGTACACACATATATACACACATACATATATTTATTTATTCACCTTATAGTTATGTTGAAATGTAAACACATTACTAGTAGGGGTCACTTCATTCTTTGTACTTGTATCCCGAGTATCTAGCACAGTGTCTGGGCAAGTGACTTGCTATTAGGCTCTTGTCAAAAATTTGTTGTCTGATGGATTGGGTTACATAGGCCACAGCATATTACCAATGATGACTTATTTGAAAGGGAGAAATTTTGAAGGGGTGGCAGTGGAGAGGAAGGAGTGGGAACATCAAGAGTTATGCAATAAGGAATAGGAAACCCAAAGGCACCAACAGGAGGAGAAGGTAGAACTGAGCTGTGACAGCAAAGGGAGACATTGGCCATTGGCCCTATTGTCATCAGTGTCATGCTACCAGTTATCCTCATTTCCTTAAGGATCAAGGGAAATTCCAAGCAAAGGCCTGCCCATTCTCCAAGTTCCCCTCCAGGTGTCTGTCAATAAACACTGTAATATACTCTGGTGACTCTTGACCTAAATGATTCTGGTAACCTGAATTTTGCTTCAACCTCAAAGGAGTGTTAGGTTAAATACAGACAAATAGAAATATGGATTAAAGCAGATTGTAAAACATGGAGTCTCAGAGAAATAATTTTGAATGTACTCCTAACTTTTTGTTTATTATAAACTTCCTGTAACAGCAGAGGAAGGAACTATGTGGATCCTTAGGTACCTAGGCTTAAAATGAAATAATTATTGTAACAAAGTGTTGAAATATTACAGATCTTGTCTAGTAGTATATTTGAAAAGTTCATCAGAAATATTTAAAATGGAAGTTTTCTTAATGAGTTATTTATTATCAAATTTATGAGGGAGTTAGTATCACAATTGTCCTATATGTTAATAATATAAGCATGAGTTTAGTTCTGCTAATATACATGAAGATTTTCCTTCTTATAAAATTAGCCACTGGTATGTTTAAAACAATGGGATAATTTCTGCTGCAGATATCCCACTTTTATTGGCCCTCCCCTGCCTCTACATATTGCTTTTCTGGATTTGCTGGCATTAATGGATCTCCTTTTGAATTTATCACAGCACCATGCCAAAAGCAGATACAGGAAACACAAAAGGCAGAAATTCTATTCAATAGTAAAAATGGAATTTGTCTTAAGATACTAATGTGAACAGCACAGTGAACTTGTTTTAAGGAGCCCATTATCATTAATGTATGCACTCCTTTTCAAATACAGCTCCATCCATGGTGAAGTGATTCCTTCATCTCCAATTAGAACTAAATTTAAAATAACATATATTTATTGACTTAATTGCTGTGTGCAAGGCAGTGCCAGGGGTGTAGAGATAAATGTGTGATTTCTTCTCTCAAGGAGAATACAAGCTAGGAGGAAGGAAGGAGTATTTCTCAAAAGTAATACCCAAATAACAGGCAATGCAAGGCAGGCTATAATCTGTCAGAAGTACAATCATATTTATGGTTAAGAGAGGTATCATGTAGGAAGATCAGGAAAGTCTTAATAAATGGAAGTGGAATTTGAACAGGGTTTTGAAGAGTAAGTAGGATTTGGACAAGTAAAGATGGAATTTCTGAAAGAAGGGATAGTACAAGTCATGGACTTATAAAATGAAGAGGCATATAGAAAGAGTCAGAGAAAAACAGGATAGCTTTGAAAGTTTCATAATGACTTCATTAGATACTTTAAAAGAAAAGCATGCTCTACAGAATAGGGATGAACAGTTTTCCTCTTCCACAGTATTTGGATATTTCACGTAACAATACTGTCCTGTTTCACAATATATGTGGAAATGCTCATTTTATTTTGTATTTAAGTTCAGAACAAATTTTTAAATGAAAAAGAAAGGGAAAAAATCAAGAGGAATGTTCAGAAATACCAAATAATCTTATTTGGTCAGGAGACATAGTTAGGTATAAAACAGGAAACACAGGTTGGAGGCAATGCATGAAGGACTCTGATTGTCAGGCTAAAGAATTAGAATTAATTTGGTAAGCAGTTAGGAGGCATTGATGTTTTTAAGTAGATTTCTTTATTAGGAAGATAAATCAATCTTCCTTGGATAGCTTGACAAGGGAGAGATTATAGATAGGGAGCCTAGTTAGGAGTCTATTACCATTCTCCAGAGGGGACATGATAAGAATTAAAATTGGAATAGTGATCATGGGAATGAAAGGAAATGAGATATAAATGAAAGATATTAAAAAGAATTAGCCAGATTTAGTGACTGATGAATATCAGGGATGAGAAGGAGAGAGTCAACATTACAGCCCTCTAGAAATGAGGATTCCATTAATAAAAATAGAAAAATCAGGAAGAAGAGCTAGTTTTGAACATGAAGAGTTTGGCTTGGAACATGTTGAGTTGGAGGATCCTGCAGGGCATCAAGTCAGATTCCCAAGAGGAAGTTTGAAGGATACAACTGAATATCCGGATAGAAATTGGATTTGGAGACAGCTCCTTGAGTAATTTTAATGAAGTTGAAGAGCTTAGAGTGGTTAACATCATCAAAGGTGAAAAGACCAGAAGAGAAGAAAAGAGGGACTAAGGACAGAACTTCTGAGAATGCCTCTATTTAGGTGGTAGAGAACGCTCCAGTCATGCCAAGGAGAAACTGTTTTCAACAATAACAGTCAGTCAGGATCTTAACACTCCTCTAATCCAAACTCCTACTAAGTACCTCAATCCCCTCTTCAGTATCCTGAACTGGTGGCCATCAATATTGTCAAATGGGGAAGAGAGCTCTAAGTTGATGAGAATTGAGAAGAGGATTTGGAGTGTTGGGAAAATCTTTGCCAACCTTCAGTGTGATGGAAATCAATGCAAGAAATCACGTTTTGTGTATGTTCATATGCATGCATATATGGGTACATTTAGATACCTCTCTCTCGTTCTATGTCTCTGTCTCTGTCTCTGTCTCTCTTTCTCTCTGTCTCTCTCTTTTTCCAAAAAAGATGTATTAGATCAAAGATTTCTGAACTTAAAAAAATTTAGATTTTACTTTAGCTATTTTTTTATAGTTACCTTACTTTTAAAGGAGATAAAACCAATGTGGTTTCAAGTTTATTGTTAATATAGATATGTAAACTTTCAGTTCAAGTAAAATATTTCATTAAAATTAATCTTTTTAAAAAAACTGACTTCTAAAAAAAGTGTGTCCCTTGTGTACTTTGCCTACTTAACATTTTTAAAATTACAAATTTACATGATCTTTTTTCCTTTTCTTGTCCATAATTTACCTGATTATCTTACATCCTTTTGGGGAAGAAATTTTTATTAATACAAATGT